GCACGCTACCGCTTCCGTCTGCCGGCCTTCGCTCCCCGCCCGGCAACGCTTTATGAACAGTAAAGTCTTAAGCTTATTTTCGATTTTCCAGGTGAGACTGTTCTCCCCTAATTAAAAGGTAGAAATAACGTAATCACTACAAGTGAAAGGAAAAGATGCTTACAGCTGCCCGGTATGCTGCGGGTGCGTTTTTAAAGGATCATATCTTAAAATATACAGATTCTTCTCATAATAAGATGAAGAGCTGGTGGCAGAAATTTTATCCCGTTGGATGAAATATATAAATCATGAATTTCATAATACTGATAATTAAATGTCCATCTTCCCATTTAAATGAGGACTAGATTAAAACTGCATGGAGAAGGCTGATATTCAGAAATCATTAATTATTTTTAATTGCTTTGCGCTTTCCTGGTCTGATGTCGGTTACATGGCTCATACACGGTTCTGTTTCAGATAAAACCCTCCTCCACTCCGTACGCGAGTCGAGGGCCAAACGGACGGGCTGATGGACTCAGACTTGCCCACACTCGCACGATCCTGGCGTCAGCATCTTGAATGGGGACTGGTTTTTAAGAGGGAACAGCTGTAGAAGGCAATAAGCTGGCTTTTCCAGCAATCAAAAAGGAAACCGAAAAAACACACACACAGACACACACACACACACACACACGCCCACCCGGTCGGTTCCAGGTGATGGCTGGGGCCACTGTGCGCTTTTCACTCTCCAATGTGACGACGTGGTTAATAAGTATGTGGTCAGCCTAACGCTGATGGATAAATGAAGATGTCAGCATGGGGGTCTGCCCCCGACTAGCAGGGAAGGACACGGAGCCCCGCGGCTCCCGCACTGTGAGGCGTTGGGGAATTTTGCTCGGCGGAGCCTCCTGAATCCGTGGGTCTGTGAGATTTTCAGTTTGATTACCTACCTGTTTTAATATGTATTTGCTTAATTTTACTATTTTAAGCTCCCATGTCAATTTTTCAAAAGGGAGAAAAACAGGTTTTCTTTTGCAAAATTCTTCACCTGGGAATATAAATCAGTTTCCAACAACCACCCCAGTCACCGGCTCACGAGGTGAAACCGTTCATGGTCGAACAGAGGCAGTCCTAGGTGAAAGGCAGAAGCCTGTACAGCAGCTAGACAGGAGGGAACGCCTCCTCCCTAAAGCCCCAGAAGTCTCGAGTCACCCAAGGTATGCGACACTCAGCACAAGGAAACACCTTACTCAACTCCCAAACATTTCTGGGGTTCACCTGAGCGGATCCCCCTACATGATCATTCAGGTGGACCTTTTTTTTTTTTAAATATATTTTATTGATTTTCCACAGAGAGGAAGGGAGAGAGACAGAGAGTTAGAAACATCGATGAGAGAGAAACATCGATCAGCTGCCTCCTGCACATCCCCCACTGCAACCCAGGTACATGCCCTTGACCGGAATCGAACCTGGGACCCTTCAGTCCGCAGGCTGACGCTCTATCCACTGAGCCAAACCGGCTTCGGCCAGGTGGACCTTTTTAAAAATATATATATTTTTTATTGATTTCAGAGAGGAATGGCGAAGGAGAGATAGAAACATCAGTGATGAGAGAGAATCATTGATTGGCTGCCTCCTGCAGGCCCCACACTGGGGATCGAGCCAGAAACCTGGGCCTGCGCCCTGACCGGGAATTAAACCACAACCTTCTGGTTTATAGGTCGATACTCAACCACTGAGCAACACCGGCCAGGCTCAGGTGGACCTTTTAAACTCACTGAAAAGCAGTAGTTTTGCTACTCACTGCCCCTTAGGGGCCTCCTGATGGGGGGGGTCCAGTGAAAGGACAGTCAGGTCTCTTCCTGAGCAGCAGCTTGTTTCTTGCTGCCCGTAGGGAAGCTGCCCTGGCCCAGCCCCGGACCCAGGCTCCCCTCCACCCGCAGCGGTGCCCTACACTCCTGGCCCAGGTTTCGTTCACTCTTATCTTTTCACTCCCATTTTGTTACATGTATTTTTGGAGCTACCTTAAATCTTCCTGGAACAGATGAAATAGATATGAACAAATAAATATTCAGACATCTAAGCATCTGAAAAAACTCTAAGAAAAGGTAGAATGCTATCATTTGGGACTAAAATAGAAGACTTTTCAGGAGAGGTAAGATATTCGTAAAAAGAAAACTAACGACCACTGAGAGTCCACCCCACACCTCTTTGGGGGGTTTATTATTTAAAAGCAGCAGTGCCCATCCTATGCATAAGTCTCTTTGCACACTGTGACATTCTAGGGGCAGTTCCCAGGGGAGGAAGTGTGAGGACCGATGGCATCTTCATGCCATTCTGATCAGGGCACACGGTGGCCGCAAGGCCTAGCTTCTCAGGATTTCAGCAGGAGCCGAAGCTCCTCACCACCTCTGAGCGCAAGAGAAAGCCGCCGGCTGGACCACACGGAACAGTTGACACGTTTTGGCAGACAATGCACAGGACCCCAAAAGGCCGGCGGGATATGCACACAGAGGACGGCAGAGCCCAGCCGAACAGGGAGGACCTCGCAGACATGGAATGAGCTCATGGGAGGTGGCAGCCCCAGAGGCTGCAGGCGCCTGAGCAGCAAATCAGGATGATCATCTGCCCCGAGGTCACAGAGGGCATTCCTGGGCGAGGCAGACGCTGGCTAGATGCCTTCCTCTCTCCCTCCCCTAAACACCCCTGTCCTCGCCTCTCCCTGCAGGTGTGCCACCCAGAAATGGAACAACTGGCTTTTGCTTTTACTTCCAAACCTGTTAGGGAGTGATCATGAGCACCTCTGGTGCTGGGGACAGAGCTCCTCTGAGCAGTGTCTTCCTTTTGCAGGTGGCATGGATAGATGTCATAGTGAAATTCAGGCATGCCCTTGGGAAAACATTTCTAAGTAAATATTACTTCAATAACCACACATACAAATCAAATGTGGGCTGCTTTTGCAAATTCTAGTTACACTGTTTGGAAATCTACTTATCTTAGGAAGGACTGCAAACTAATCAAATATTCTCAGGCACGAACCAGCCCACCAGGATCTTGCACCAAAGACTCAGGCCCTGAAGCCGGCAGTGAGCGTGCGCGGAGCTCCAGCTACCATGGCATCAGGCAACGGGCAAGGGCTAAGGCCTAGGGCACACTCTGCATTGACTGTTTGGGAATAAACCACTGAAAACTTAACTTCACGGTACCAAGCTGAGAAGTGCCACTCGGTGCCAGATCCTGCTCGTGTGGGGAGGGCGTTCTCTGCCCCTTCCAGCCAGCACGCCGCAGGCAGGCTGCTGGGGTCGGCGGGCAGGCGTCCCAGCCGCACCATGGCTGCCCGGTGCTGAGCTTGCAGGCTTCTGGAGCCAGCGGGTCCTGCGGGGTATTTCTGGCAGCATCACAACAAAGCATTCCTGGACCCTGGCAGAGCGATTTGGTGCCTGCAGCCGCCGAGGCCCGAGCGGCCTGCTGCTCTGGGCGGCAGCCTCAACTACCTCCGCTTGGAAGATAAAACCCAACTGCCTGCCATTTACATAAATGTAACAGGAAGCTGCTGAATGGCTTCCCCTGTGTCTTGAGGCTGTTCCCTCGGTGTTGCTAAGCGAACAGCTGAAATGAACCCAGACAACACCTCATCAAAGCCGGGCGAGGAAGCGGCGGGCCGAGGCACAGGCGCTCCTGCCAGACCGGGAGGCTGTGCTCTGTGGGCCCTTTTCCGCAGAAGCGCCGACAGCTGGGAAAGCCATCAGAGAACCCCGGCCAGGGGGGCAGCGAACACGCTGCTGCAGATCTGCGAGCTGGAGGGAACAGTCCCCTGCTTTCCTGAGCCTCCACATGTGCCTCCGAACGAGCTCCCGCTGGATTTCAGAGCTGCTCTGCCCCGAGGCACCTGGGGACACGGTTAGCTCTTCCACTGAGCAGGTCATCTTTCCACCCTTGTTATGCTCCTTGTCGACTCTGCCGAACCAGCCGCCGCACAAGCGCAGCTCTCCCTGGAGATGCTGTTCTCAGACACGTCCCCCCACCCTCCGGGCGCCTGGCTCCCGGAGTGCAGCCAGGCCGGTGGGCTCGGGGACACCCCTGTCCCCGCCTCTCCCTGCAAGTGTGCCACCCAGAAATGGAACAACTGGCTTTTGCTTTTACTTCCAAACCTATTAGGGAGTGATCATAACAAGAAAAACTAATACTGACACGAATTACACCATTGTTCTATTTCGTCTATTTAGTAACCCGAAGTTGCGATTTTTAGAGAAAAGATTACCTCTTAAATAACCGATTCATTATGGTACATGAGTGAATGCCATGTTCCCGTGTTCGAGATGCCACTCAGCATTAAGGGTGAGCGCTGGGAAGTGGCACTGATTTGCCACTTCCCCTCAGACAGACCCGGACCGGAGGCCCCGTATAATCGAGGGGAGCTGGTGGGTTTCCGAGGCTCTTAGCAAGTCACCCGCCCGCCAGGCACCTAATGAATCTCAATTCTGTAACAAGGCTGTGAGCTCCCCTCCCTGGCGAAGGGGAAAGGAAAACCAGGACTGATGAAGTTCCTGCCAAGGTAACACTATCAATTTCAAGGCCGAGTTCAGAACTCACAGACTCAGATGTGGGGGTGAGGGGGAGGCTGCCCGCAGACCCTCTGGCACAGACCTGGCTGTGAGAGATGAGGCGGACAGCCCTGGATGCGGGCGGGAGGGGCCAGGCCCAGCTCTGCGCTGCCCCGGGCCCCGTGGGGAACCTGCCCTGGACCTGGCCAGTGAACAATGTGGTGACTATTCTCTGGAAACCTCCCTTCAAGCTTGTGGAACCCACACATTGTTTTTCATCATTAGTTTCAAAACATGCTGCGTATCTGGCCCTCCTCTGAGTGCTGCGGTGACACAAAGGAAAGGGAGGCCTGGTCGCGGCTGGGAACAGGCCCCTTGTAGGGAGAAGGAGGCAAGACGGATGCCACCAGAAGCCTGGAAACGGCGAGGGAGGGGGTGCAGGACTGTCGGTCGCTGCCGCTGGCGGGGCCCACGTACCTGAGATGGCGTACAGGTTGGAGTGCTGGTACTCGTAGTCAGCCCGAGTGCTGTTCCGGCCCCGGAAGGTGGCGGGCAGCGTCAGGGAGATGTGCCTGGGGAGAGACGGGGAGACAGGAGGTTAAGGGTGTGGCCCCAGCAGCATGGCGCAGAGTAGGCGCTCCTGGCGAGCAGGCCTCCTCCACCAGCCCGAGTTCCCCGAGGAATTGAGAAGTTTCCCGACATCAGCAGCCACCTTGCCACACGGAAGGGCATCTGAGAGGAAGACAGGGTTTCCCAGCCCACAGCACGCCAGGTGCTTCAAGGAGGCGGGCAGCTCAGTCCAGGTCTCTGCCCAGCAGGTAAAACACACCAACGGGCCCAGAACCCTCAGGCTCTGGACATGAGCCTCGGCTGTCCTGTGTCTTGGTCCCATTTTCCATCCCTCGGCTTCCACACCTGCCCTGCAGGGCAGCTGGGACAGCAGCTCAGGAAGCGCTTTGTGAATAAGGTGCTGGGCACGGATACCACGTGAGTCCAGGAAACTAAGGACCACGGAGGATGGGGATGGCCTGCTCCTCTGAACTGCTTGTCTGTGTGTCCCCTCTGGTGGGAGCACACAGTAGGTGCTCGCTCAGGAAAGCACCCTCGATTGACCAGCATGTCTTTTGTGGCACAGGTGTTGGCCATTAAAGCTACAAGTATCCAATCAAAGCAAATAACCCATTTGGTATAGTTGTCAGCTGCCTTTAGCAAGTGCAGAAAAGCAGGACGAAAACAACAGGAGAAACATTTAAAACCCCATAGGTCTGAGGGGACAACAACAACAACAACAAAACTCCCTCTTCTTGGCACGATGGGGGTTGGAGGGGGTTGGTTTGAAGTAGCTCAGTACCTGAGCTTCGGTCACACTCCGTCCTTTCCAAAAGGGAGGAAGCATCTACGACGTAAGAAAGCTTTACGTTTCACACGCTGCCTTTTCCACATCACACGTGGGGGATGTCCTAGAACGACTGGTACGCAAGGACTCCTGGGAGGAAGGCTTCTCCGGGGAGGCCTGTTCCCATGGACTAGGAGCGAGCAGGAGCCTCCCAGGAGGCGCTGAGGTTGTAAAGCACGCATGTCAAACTCAAAGGCTAACACGGGCCAAATAAACGAGGCATGCGGCCCGCGGGCGCGCGTTTGACACGCCTGCTGTGAAGGCATTTGGTTTGCCGGTTGTGGAGCGAGCACTGAAGGCGGTGACGCCAACCAGCCCAGCTGACCCAGCTGAGGGGCTTCACTGAGCACCGAGGGCGCGCCCGGGGCTGCAGGGGAAGCAGAGCATAACTACTGGACATGTGGCCACTGGGCGCTCTGCCGTGTGTAGTGAATGTGCGTGATGCTAACTGAGGGTGCAGGTGAGCCCCGAGGAGCCCTCAGGCCGCAGGGGACAGAGGTGCAGGAACAAATACCTTCAACATGACCCGCTCGGAGAATACAAACTGGGTGCCGAGTGAGCCCCAAAGGAAGGAACAGCACCCTCGGATAAAGGGGCCAGAGCTTCTTGCGACACCTTCTCAGCCAGGGCCAGAGAGGAAAGGGGTTTGGGTTCTCCGCCCGAAGACAAAGGTTCCCAACTCTGTTCTGCCCATCACGGCACAGACGAAGGCATTAGAGTCACCTGGGAACTTGCTAACGATACAGATTCACAGCCCAGACCCTGGGAGCCGATTCAGGGGGCCTGGGGTGCAGGCCACAGGCATCTATTCTCAACCAGCTCCGCAGTGACTGGGCCTGGCCAGGTTTGGGAAACCGGGGGTGAGGAGCAGCTGCAGAGGTTTAAGCAGTTGATCAATGCCTCTGACCACAGCACTTAGTCAATGAAGCTGAGCAAACACGAGAATGAATTATTGGCTGCGGTTGTGGTTGAGCAGAGCTGAAATGATGACAGGTGACCCTGCAGCGAGGGCCTGCCAGGCGCCGGGCCCTGGGGTGTGCGGGTCTCCCAAGTTCTCTATGGCTCCTCACCCCGCCCCCCGAGGCGGACCCGGGGCCAGCTCTGCGACGGGCAGGGCTCCGTGCAAGATGGAAATGTGGGGCTCTGGCTCAAACATCATTAGGAATTCAAGACGGTGCCAGCAGGGCATTGAGCAAGCGTGGGCCCTTCTGAGCACGGGCGCCGGGGGACTGCCCCGGCTGCACCCCGTGAAGCTGGCCGGCAGGTGCTGTTGCTGCACCCACTATAGTACAGTGACTATCCCAATGCGGGGATTGCCGGGGAAGAGGTGCGCTTCGGGGCTGCCACACCCTGAGATTTCTGAGCCTTGAAAGCCCAAAAGACACATCTGCTCTAACTAAGGACAGAACACCGGTGCAGAGCAGCAGCGGCTCCGGGCTGGAGGCCCTCAGGGCCCTGCTCGAGCTCTGACTTTATCCAGAAGCATTTTTAAGCAGAGATGTGACAAGACCCAATTTGCAATTTTAAAAGATTGCCTGCCTGTGGGAACGTGAGGGCAAAAACCTGCGTGGCCCTGAGTGGTGGAAATGGAGCAGCAAATTATGATGGAGATGACCACGAAACTGCAAACAATTATTCAGCACCTACAGTTTACAGACCCTCAACAGTTCCTGCCAAAATGACCTGCTGCCACCCTCTAAGCCAGCGGTTCTCAACCTATGGGTCGCGACCCCTTTGGGGGTCGAACGACCCTTTCACAGGGGTCGCCTAAGACCATCGGAAAACACATATCTAATTACATATTGTTTTTGTGATTAATCACTATGCTTTAATTATGTTCAATTTGTAACAATGAAAATACATCCTGCATATCAGATATTTACATGACGATTCATAACAGTAGCAAAATTACAGTTATGAAGTAGCAACGAAAATAATTTTATGGTTGGGGGTCACCACAACATGAGGAACTGTATTAAAGGGTCGCAGCATTAGGAAGGTTGAGAACCATTGCTCTAAGCAAATAGTTTTGGGATGATTCTATGGCACAGGGGACTTGCTCCTTAGCTGCCCTGGACCCAACGTGGTCTGACCTCCGCTGCCTCTCCTGGCCACTGGATCCCACCTGGCTGACTGCACCTTTCCAACCGCCCCCCCCCCCCCCCCCGGGCCTGGTTCTCTTTCTTCCTTGCAGATGGTCCTTTCTGGCTCCTCTTCCCACCATTTCAAGGTTGCTGTTTCCCAGGGTTCTGGTTTAGCTCCCTGCTCACTCCACACACCTGCCCTGGACTCCCACATCCACATCCACATCCACACCCCAGTTCTAGCCGTTTTCACACAGCTCGCCAGCCTGTGTCTCCCTCTGACAGGAAGGGAAGTCTTGTGAGTCTGTGCCGATGCCATGGTTTTGTCATGCCTTAGCCTGATTCTTTATTCACACTGCTCCCCCTTCCTAGAATCGCCGCCATTCCTTATGGACTCTCCAAACTCCTACTTATCCTTCAAGACCCCCTCTAAGCACCCACTCTTCGGTAGGGTCATCGCTGGGCTTGTTCCAGGCTGGGCTGGATGCCTGAATGACCTCTCTCACTCCAGGTACCCCAATATACTTAACCATTTGATATAAGCCTATTTCCCTACTATGACTGTGACCCCCTCAAGAGCAGGGCCAAATCTCATCACTTTTGTACCCCATTTTCTAGGGCAATTTCTGCCCTAGATTACTGAATATTTGTCAACCAAATCCAGTGTTGAACCTACTCCATCAAAACCCCTGGGCCCTTCTTGGACATGAAGTGCTGTTAGCCTCTATTATTTCATTTCTGCATGTGTGTGTTCCCCAGTTAGATTCAAGGACTCTCTGGGAGATCCATTATACCGTGCACCCCACTCCTCTTTGCTATGGAGGAAAACAGGTATAATGTAACAAGAAGTCAGTGGCGGCAGCAGCCAGGAATTTACAAGGGGGGAAAAGTTTCTGATCTCATGCCACAGACAATGCCTGGTGATACGGTAAATGTAAAATTAAAAGATGATTCAAACCCTGGCGGTGTGGTTAAGTGGCTAGAGCATCAGCCCAATATATGAAGGGTCATGGGTTCAATTTCTAGTCAAGGGCACATACCTGGATTGCAGGTTCGATCCCTGGTCCCAGTGGGGTGTGTGGGAAGCAATCAATTGATGTGCCTCTCTCACATCTCTCTCTTTTATAGAGTAATTGCTCAATAGGTATTGGTTGAAATCAAGCTGCCAGAAACTCCAGCTATAGCGGCTGATGCAGCAGTGTGGGGGTGGGCAGCTTTCAGAGAGCAGAGAGTGGTCAGGCCTCGGCCTGCAGCACTGGGGAGAAGAGTTCCTACGCTGCAAAAGCTGCTTCTGCATGTTTGCTTCTGCTGTTCCGGGGCCCAGAAAGGAGGGAAGGTGGGGAAGAAGGCAAATCAAGGCCTCCTGTTAATGAGAAGGAACAGGTTGGGCCGAGGGACCGATCACCTGTGGTTAAACTGGATGGAAGTCACCTGCCGAAGGAGAGGTGGCCCGGGCTCTGCCTGTCCGATGAGCCTACCAGGGTCAGGGGAGCTCTGCCGTCAGCTGAGTCTCAGCGAAGCGACATTCTAGTCCCCTGTGTCTGGTGGGGACCCCCCTGCCAGGCACTGGGCTAGGTTCCTTCACACACATCACCGTGCCTGATCCTCTCAGCAACCTCCTAAGGTGGGAATAATTACATTTACTGAACAGAAGGAAGAAGCCGCCAGGAAACCGGCTCTCCCTGGCGTGGCGCCCAGAGATGAAGGCCTCTGGGACCTCCCCGCAGGCCCCGGGCCGTTGGAAGAAGGGGCAGGCCGTCAGAGGCCAGCGATTTCTGCCACTTGACTCAAATGATGAATTAATATTCTAACATCCGTTTGGTAACGGGAGGATTCTAACTAGAGCACCCCCAAATGCTCGGGCACGTTACTGAGCGTTCTTCTCTGTCCCCCACCCAGGGAGCTGCCCCTGCTGAGCCACCACCTCTCTGCAGGAGCGACGGGCTGTCCCGTGACAAACAGGTCAGCATCCCACACGCTGCTGCCAAGGGCTCGGCTGAGCAGATGCTGAGGGAAATTCCATTCCCCGCCTCCCCCAGTCAGGCACCTTATTCAATTAACATGGCCACGAAGCTGCAGACAGCTCCATATG